GGTTGAAGCTCAGAGAACAAAGCAGCCCTTGTGTCTTTTTTTTAACCCTCAGCACACACATGCCTTCCATGAGTTCTGAGCAGTCTCAAGGATTTTTCCACCCTACCCTGCCTAGACACCTTAGCACCAAACAGAAGCCTGCCGCATCTGCTTCCTCGCTCTGGTCACCTTGCACCACCTACTTGGTGCTGTGAATTAAAGCAGAGGTGGGCACACTCAGTCCCCAGCCCTGCGTGTTGCTCCCAAGCTTCGGAGCCATACGGCCTGTTTGAATCATTACCTCAGCGGAGTCAGCCTTCAGTCGAATCATTACCTGTAACACCAACAGCCCATTTGGGTGCCAGGTTGAGCCTGGCTGTTCCACTTCCCATCTGGCTTTCTGCTAATGGGCCTGAGAAAGCAGCAGAGGGTCTTGGGGCTACCCCAGCCACTGTGCCCTTTTAGGGAATGAGCTGGAAGATAGAACATATCTTTATTCCTCTGTCTCTCCCTCTGTGGAACTTTGAAATAAATACAATTCCGTTAAAAGAAAAACAACCCTCCTCCCTCCACCTGCTCTCAACTCCCAGTGCCCTGAGGCTGGCTGCTGGATATCGTTAAGACTCAGTGGTCTCCCAAGCAAACTGGGAATACATGTCCATCTCCTTCTGGGCTGAATGTAAAGATCAGATGGAACAGCTAGAGATGCGTGCTAGGCACTCGTTAATTGCCAGTTGTTACCACGTGTTAAAGGGGTGCGGGCAGCAATGGGGCAGCAGTGAGCAAGGCGGAGGAGAGGATGGGCAGAAGGGAGGGACGCATCGTGGCAACTCTCCATGCCATTGTCACACAGGACCTTGGGGGTTTGTGCCCACCATGTAGGTGGCAAGCACATAGAGTTACCAGGCACGATGGGAGCGGCGATACGTCCTTTGTTGAGGGGCAGCTTGGGGATCTGCTTGGCTGCATGACCACAGCCAGTGGCTCCTCAACATCACACAAACAGAAGCCTTCAGAGTCAACAGGAAGCAGACAAGGCCAGTGGCAACCTTTGCAGCCCGGGTCCAGGTTGAGCAAATTCTAGGAATCTTTTGTGGCTGTGACCCAGGCCGCCTACGCAGGCCCTGAGCCTCCTGTTCACAAGCTTTAGGGTCCTCCCAGATCCTTCCTGGCCTGCTCAAGGGTGGGCCCTGTGTCCCCAGACCTGCCAGCTGTTTCTGAAAGAACCCTCATCAGCCCTGCTCCCATCCTCACCTGGACACGGCCACCACGGAAGCTATGGCCTTTGGGGTGATGTGACAAATGTGAAAAGTCAGCAGGAATGGGGCTCTTGTAACAGCATTCCTCTTGTCTTACTGGGAAAGACAGGACAATTTGACTGTCAAAGAGACATCAAAAATGTAACCACTCAGGGCACATGGAGCCTCTCTTTTTTCTTAAAAAATATTATTTTTCATTATTATTAGAAAGACAGAAATGCAGAGAGGAGATACAGAGAGGAAGATTTTCCATTCACTGGTTCATTCTCCAAGTGGCCGCAACGGCTGGAGCTGAACTGATCTGAAGCCAGGAGCTTCTTATGGGTCTCCTGTGCAGGTCCATGGTCTCCAGGTTTTGGGCCATCCTCTACTGCTTTCCCAGGCCACAAGCAGGGAGCTGGATGGGAAGTAGAACAGCTTGGGTATGAACTGGCATCCAAATGGGATCCCAGGGGATGCAAGGCAAGGATTTAGCAATTGGGCTATTGTGCGAGGTGTATGGAGTTTTAAAAGCTGCAAGTTCCTGTCGACCTTTGCAGTCCAGAACCTCGCAAGAGTGAAGTTTGAGTGAAAGTGAAGTCACCTGTAAGAAAGCCTCAGCTGTACCCGTGTTAACAAGTACCCGTGTGCTTTGATGTCCTTTGTTCACAGCATTGCCGTGTGACATAGATACGCTTCATTTTGCTCTGAGCCAGGAGGAGGGGAAGGCAGAAGCCACTCACGCCCAACAGGAAGCAGCTGGAAACTTTGCACAGAAGGCAAGAGGGGCCCCAGGATGTTGCGAGGTAGCACACTTACAAGACGCTGGAGGAGGCAAAGGAAGGCTGAACACCGACTCACCCGGCCGCTTGTGAAGACAGACCCGAGTGTCCACGACTCTCCCAACAGGCTCTGTGCTCCACATCCTCCTCAATGCAAGTAAACCTCAGCACAGCTGTGTGAGCCCTTGGCCGATGCTCCCACTTGACAGATAAGCAAACTGAGGTTTCCAAGTGCGTGTAGCTGCAGCTGCCCTACACCCTTGCTCAGCTCAGGTGCTTGGAAGGATGTGGAAACAAAACAAATGCAGCTGTGAAGTATTGGCCCTTTAGGGAAAAATCCCAGCGTGGCTTTGAGCTGTGCCTGGACCCCAAGTCTGCGGCCAAATGCAGCTACCATCCCCTGCTCACACTGCACAGGCCTGACCCAGAGGCTGCCGGGACCCCGCACACAGCCCCGAAGGTCCTGCCGTGGTGGGCACCGGCTGAGGGCCACTCAGAAGCCAGAAGCTGCCAGAAGGATTTACCTGCTGCCGTCCTATCGGCTCTTCACAGCCCTGGTGAAAGGCACTGAGTCTGAGGCACAAAGAGTGGTGAAGGGCTGAGCTGGACCCAGACACTTAACTCCTGAGGATGGAGTTAAGTAGGAAGGGAGCAGTACAGGGCAGGGCCAGGGGTGGGGTGGCAGGGTAGGTGGCACAGACCGGGCCCCATCCCTCCCCAGCAGCATGGCTAGTAGATCCAGCTCCTCTGAGTTCTGCCCCTCACTCTCCTGACTCACATGACCCAAAGGCCCTTGCACACCTGCCCCCAACTCTCTTCCTGGCTACAGACCCCAGCCCACACCATGGGCTCCCCTCTCTAGGCAGTGGAGGTCTCCCCAGTTGCTCTCTATTTTCCTCTATCCCACTGGATTTTCCCATGATGCATTTGCCTCCAAATGTTGTAACTGATAGTTACAGTGGAGGGGCTTTCCACCCTGGACACCGGGTGTGTAGGGGGGATGCCAGACCCAAGAAGGAAGACAGCAAACCCTGGAGCCTTAGCTTGCCCCAATGCTGCCCACACCAGTACCCACTGTGCTCTCAGCCAGGGCCTATAACACACATTTCCTTGGGCAGACAGACCTCCCAACTTGGCCTGTGTATGCACATCTTCCAGGAGTCCTGCCAGGAGAGTGCCAGGCTCCATGCCAGAAGGATGAGATCTTCATTCCTATGCCTCCTCAAGCCTGTGCAGCTGTCCCTCCCACAGAAGCTCAGCATTCGGGGCATGGCAGGCACAGCGGCAGGTACCACACACAACAGCCTGGGCCAGGAAGGGCCACCTGGTGTCCGCTTGGCAAAGGGCAGGGCCCTTCCTGCCTCATCCCTCCCCCCTCCTGGACCTGCTGTCTGTACCAGCTGGGCTTCCTTCCTCTTCAGTAGGCAGAGAGCTGTGACTGGGCCCACTCACAGCCTTGGGACATGGCAGCCCTCGGAGTCCCAGAGCCGCAGAGGGACATGCTGCTGACAGCCACAGGAGGCCTGACTGCCACTCAGCGCTATCAGGAATCCCAGGTACAAGAACTGCACGAGTCGCTTGAGGGGGACAGGGGAGGTGGCCCTGCTGTCCACGTAGGGCCCAAGGAGGGGAGGAGACGTGCAGTCAGCTGCTCGGTGCCCTGTGAACAGCTGCACACTGAGGTTCCCAGGGGGAAGACTGGCGCCTTTGAAGGCACAGAGGGTGAAGCTGGGCAGGTGGGAGTCCTGTGTTCCACTTTGGGTAAGACAGGTGCATGCTGAAAGTTCTGGAGATGGCAATACCTCCAAGGAAGTTCCTGAAACGTCCCCCCACCTCATTGCAGGGGACAACAGGGACATCCCTTGACCTGGGGATGCCTGACACCGGGCTGTGAGTAGACCTTGAGTTCCTGCTCTCCAAAAAGGTATGTACTTTTGTTACAGTAGTGTTAGGCATGGGGAGGTTAATGTGAGGGTGCACAGCACATGGTGTGGCAGTTCTCCAGGGCAGAAGTTGTGTGCGCCTTGCAAATGCGACAGGGGATCAGACACGGGACGAAGACATATTCATCCTCCATTGAGCAAGTTCCTGCTGGGTGCACAGTCATGGGAGCACTGGGTGGCCGAGAGAGCAGGTGGCCATGCTTTTTATAGGGGATCAAAGTCATGGGCGGGTGATGGGGTTTGCACAGCCACAACTGTGTTCTCCCAAGTCCCAAGGCAATCCAAGTTGTACATGGGGTTTCCCTGGCCTTCCATGAGCCAGAAACAGGGGCATCCAGGAAGTGAACATTGTCCAGCTCAGATCAGCATGTAGTGGGGACCGTGCAGGCCAGACAGCGGCCGGCCACATGCAGCAAAAAGAGCACGCCAGGTCTGGCACATTCTCCAGGGTGTTGTCTACGTTCCTGGCAACCAGGCTTAGGGATGGCTCCAACCTGCTGAGGTGCAGGTGGAAATGCCCCCGTGTTCAGAGAGGTGGTGCGCTTTTCTCAAGGCAGCCCAGCTCTCCTCTGCAGATTTTCTCTCTGGCCCTAGAAGTGGCTGGCATGGTGAGTTTGCAAGAGCAATCTCACTGCTTGGAGTCTCATTTTCCTCATCTGTCAAATGGTCTCACATCCCACTCAACCGTCATGAGTCCTCAGCAGCAGGCACTGAGGGTGGGTGGCTCAGGAAATGGTGGAGTTTGCTCCAGGTGGGCCAGCCACTGAAGATTTCCTGCTGAGAACCAAGGGCCAGCAGAGGAATGAGCTTATCCAACTCTTGCACCCATCCCACCTTGGGCACTGCACATGGTGGCTGATGTGCCAGCAACAGTGAGTGCCTTGCAGCCAGGGAGCAGAGAGCTGTGTGCCTTCCATGCCGATGCACGCAGAATGGGTGGGCGCCTGGGTGCCTGGCCAGTGGACTTAGACCCTGTTTGCTCCTGTGATAACTGACATGACCTTGGTTAATGTTCACCAGCAGCCGCCCCATCACCCCTCCGCAGTCACTGCTTAAATACGGACCACAACAGTGCTTTGTCTCTCATCCTCGCTCACTTCCATTGGCCAAGGGATCAGGAGTTCGTGTAAGTATGCATTCCCGGGGAGATGATGAGCTCTTGAGGGGCCTGCGGATCCCCTGGCAGGCAGCAGGCGGTGGTGCAGGGGTGGTGGAGAGGGGTGACTGGACAGTGTCCCCATGGCAGCAGGAGAAGCTGGCAGTGCCCAATCGTTCCGTCATCATAGCAACAGCAGCTGAGGTGCGCTCTTTCTCCAAGCCTGCCCCATGCCTGCCTGGCTCCTCCCAGGAATTAGCAAGCTGCATCAGCCAAGTGGAAGAAGGTGTCTGACACCAAGGTCCCAAGGCCTCAGGCGGAGCAGAGCTTGGTTCACACAGCTCCTGGGTCCAGCCAGGCCTTTGTCGCATCCTTGCCCTCTCTGTAGTCGAGAAAGCGGACTCAAAGCAAGGTAGGGAGCAGCCTGGGCTCCTAGCCTTCCTCCTCCCCTGTGTGAGACAGCCAGGAATGGCAGCTCAGGGTCCCAGAATGGGGCTCTGCATGCACAGTGGACCTATCGTGCATACCACCCCGAATCCCCCAGCGGGGACATTATCCTTCCTAGGGGTTTGAGTGGCTTGTCCTAGATCCTTGTTCCGAGCCAGGCCACTTCTAAGCTTGGTGCATGTATTTTTAAAACTGTGTGTTTATTTGGTAGGCAGAGACAGGGGAGAGAGCGAGAGAGAGAAAGAGGGGGAGGGAGCAGTCTTATCTGCTGGCTGGTTCCACAAATGCTTGCAACAACAGGGGTTGGGCCGGGAGCACAAGCCAGATCTCCCATGTGGGTTACAGGGTCCCAGCCAAACTGAGGCCTCACCACTGCTGCTATGCAGGGTACATGTTAGCAGGAGGCTAGAGACAGGAGCTGAGCTAAGATGCAGGACCAGGCCTTCTGGCATGGGATGTGGGCTTGCCAAGCCGCACCCTAACCCCTGCCCCAGTGCCCACCTCACAGGGAACATACCAATGCATTCGGGATGCACTGCAACCTAGTGAGGTGGTCATTGCAATTATTCCTATCTTAGAGATGTCCCAAATCACACACCTCCTAGGCTTCAGACTCGGGCACTGAGCTTCAAATGCCATAGCCCTGACCCCAGCCTACCTGCTGGCAACATGGATTCAGCTCTCAGGCACCTGCTGGGGATCAGGGAGCCTGAACTGGCCTTGAAGCCTCCTTGGGCACTTTTTGACCTAGTTTCACAAGCTTTCTGCTCTCATGGGCAAAACACAGATAACTCCCACCCTCTTCCCAATCAACCCCCCATCCCATCACCAGAACAAGGGTGAGAACTTAACGCTTTCGTGGCCAGATTCCCACATGGGACACACATGTGACCCTCGGGTCTCCTGTTCCAACTCTTCTGGCTTCAGCTTTGTGTGCTGTCCACAGGGAGAGTGTCTGCGAAGAAATCCTGTAAGCAACTAGCTGGGAGTTTCTCGTGAGCTACCTGACCTCTTTGGACCTCCATTTTTCCATCTATAAAACGAGAATAAGGATGCATTCCACCTGTTTGGGAAGATCAGAGGACATGGCACATACAAAGCAGCCAGTGTGTGGTCAGCATGACACCACACGGCGCCAGTGTTGATGCTTGCTAAGACTAGCATCAGGCAAGAAGCAGGAATTGCTGACTCAGTGGCAGTTTACTGCTGGGTGGACAGGAACCCCCTCTGGTCCCGGGAGTGTGGCAATTGGCCAGAAGGAAGTCTGCCAGTACCCAGGTTTAGTCCAAACTGTGTGTGGGTGCCTGGGAGCAGGTGCACCCAGGAATTCAGATGGGGGTGAGAGCTGCTGACCCCACCTGGCACATCCCCAGCTGTTGGGTGCCCGCCTGCCCTTGGCCTTGCTTATCTGTTCTCAAATCTACCCATCTCAAGATTCCTTTCTCCCATGGGCAGACAGGAAATGATGTTCAAAAAAGAGAGGTCATTTGCCTAAAGCCAACAGCCCACAGGGAGGGGGCGGGATGACTTCCATGGGGGTGTATTTCCTGCTGGATTTCAACAGGTTGTGACCTTGTGCTAAAGTCACAGCCCTGAAAGCTCCCTTTCTCCAGGAAGCTCAGGTTGTATTCCCAGAAGGGCACCTTGGGAACCTGGCCCGGACAGCTCACCTCTTGTTTCCCTGCCCCAGACTCCAGAAACACAGCCAAGGTCAGCCCCTGCGGTTGGTCTTCCAGAATAGAGCGAGGTCTCCTCGTCTGAGCTGCAGTGCTGCCCCAGCTGCTTTCTCTTCCCGGTTGGATCCTCAGCTGTTGAGGATTGCAGGTTGAGGGTGCAGGCTGGGGCCTCGGCTGGAGGCCCTCCAGGGCTGAAAGGGCTGGGGAGTGCTATTTACCCAACAGGGGACTAACACTGACCACTTAGGAGGCGCCACTGACGCTCCCAGTCTGAGTCCCAGGACAAGGTTAATTTAGTTCATGAGAAAACCAAGACTGGTCCTGGCTTTTGAAGATTTATTAGTTTATCAGAGTTACAGAGACAGAGAAGTCTTCCCTTTGCTGCGTCACATCCCCAAAAGGCTGCAGCGGCGGGGGCTGGAGTCAGACCAAAGCCAGGAATCTGGAGCGACATCCAAGTTTCCTGCATGGGTGCAGGAGCCCAAGCATTTGGGCCAAATTCCACTGCTTTCCTCGGCCCATTTGCAGGGAGCTGCGCTGGATACAAACTTAAACCAGCACTTGTTTCAGATGGTAGCATTGCAGGCAGCAGCTTAACTCATTATACCACAGTGCTGGTCCTTGGTCCCAGCTTTCCCACTGACTTGCTGTGGTTGCATCCATGCCAGGGCCCTCTCTGGGCCTTGGAATCTTGACTGTAAAAGGAAGAAACCAGACAGCTGATGGGACACCCAGGATAGGGTAACCCATCTCAAACCACTCATCCCAGCTTCAGATCCTCTCCATCCTTCCCTGAGCCAGCAGCCCCCCTAGCAGGAGGGTCCCTCCCACTTCCCTCCTCCTGGAGGTGGTTCCAACACCCGCCCACAGCAGTTCCCCCAGAGTGCCAGCCGTCTCACCAAGAGCCTAGTGTGATTGCACATCATTTCCCCATAGCCCCATCGGCGCAGCTGGCAGAGCAGGGCCCCTCCTCAAGATGCCTCCTAAGGCCAAGTGAGAAGTTGTGACCCTGCAGGGCTGGGAGTTTCAGGGGGCCTCCACAGCCCCCAGCCCTGGGGCCCTTGGGAGAATCTGGCATCCTCACCTGTGGAAACCCAGTTCCCACCTGGCCACTGAGCCATGCAGAGTGGGAGAATTTCCATCTACCCCAGGATAGCACCACCATCGGGGCGGGAGATGAGAGAGAACTCAACAGCATGGGGAAGTAGCATTCCTCCTGCCTCCATTAACATCTCCGACCCCATGGAATGACGGGTGGAGGAAAAACAGAAATTTGCTCATGCATGGTGCACCCTGGGGGTCATTCAGAGCTGTGAAAGTTGGGTGGTCGATGGGAAATAAGCTTGCAGAAGTTTACTAGTCCCAAGTTTTTTCCCCTCTGGTTTTCACATCCCCAGCCCAAGCACTCCTTTCTATGAAGACAGTGTTTGCCGGTATGATGCAAACAGGTGATGCTGAGTCTGCAGGTGCATTTCTCAGCAGCTCAGAGCCCGGCTTCCATAAAGAGAGAAGATGGCAGGCTTTGGGCCTGCAGCCTGGTGCTACAAGGAGAGCTGTGGGGCAGGGTAGGCTCTGGGAGCCTGCGAATGACACTGCCTTTGCCCTTGATTACTTCTCTGCTCTCGGCAGAGCCTGCTCTCCCGGCTGGCTTGCCACAGGCCTTGCCACTGCTTGGGGTCTCTCTCCCAGACACAGAGCACATGTCCTCTCCTTCCTGCCACCTGAAACCTTGGAGTGGGTGACACCTGCAGCCCTGCCCTCTAACGCTTGCTCTCAGATCCCTCCCAAGCAAGGTTGGGTACCACGGTTCCCCTTCTTATTTCTTCCCCGCGTTCTGTGTGAGGCAACATCAGCCACAGATACACGGATTCATAGGTTCTGGGGCAATGCAGTAGGGAGACAGAGAGACCCCTTGGGGTACTAAGAAGGAATGACACCCTGGGGGGTTAGCACAGCTCTGCCAGGTTCAAGGTAGTCTTCTGAGCCTTTAAGGAATGGGGTTGGAGGGAAGCCTTCAGGGTGATTCTTGACCCCCGTGCCTCAGTTTCCCCTTTGTAACATGGGGACTGTGGTGCCTGCAATTGTAGTGAGACTCACAAGGGCAGACCTCTGGTGTGGGATTCTGGTTCTCATTGACCTTGGACATGGCTCGAATTGCCCTGAGTTTTGTTGTTTCTCCTCGGTCAGCAGAGGACAGCACTATGTTTGCACCCATAGGCATGTGATGCACAGCGGTGGGGCAGCGCCCAAGGCAGCCCAGGACAGCCATTACAGGCTTCACCAGCTGTCTCTCTGCTCTTTTCCCCTGATGCTGCAAGTGCTTGGTGCTGCCTCAGTACCTCTGCAGGTCTGCTGGGCCGTGGTTGCTCAAGGACGCTGCCAGTGGGTGCACTCCACTCCCCACTGACTCAGGGCTTGGCATCGCTGTGCTCTCTTTCAGGACCATGCCACCCTCTGTCTCCCGGGCACTCCTCCTGCTGGCCGGCCTGTGCTGCCTGCTGTCTGGCTGCCTGGCTGATGAGACCCAAGAGACAACTCCCTCCAGCCATGACCAAGAGCAGCCAGCCTGCCACAAGATCGCCCCCAACCTGGCTGATTTTGCCTTCAGCTTGTACAGTGAGGTGGCTCAGCAGTCCAACACCACCAACATCCTCTTCTCCCCGGTGAGCATCTCCCTGGCCTTGGCCATGCTGTCCTTGGGGGCCAAGGGTGACACCCACACCGAGATCCTGGAGGGCCTCAAGTTCAACCTCACAGAGACAGCCGAGGCGGACATCCACGAGGGCTTCCAGCACCTCCTCCACAAAGCCAACAACCTGGACAGCCAGCTGCAGCTGCTCATTGGTAACACCCTTGTGATGGACGAGAGTCTGAAGCTGCTAGAGAAGTTTCTGGAAGATGCCAAGAATCTGTACCACTCAGAAGCCCTCCTCATCAACTTCAAAGACACTGAGGGTGCCAAGACGAAGGTCAACAGCTACGTGGAGAAGAAGACCCAGGGTAAAATTGTGGATATGGTGAAAGATCTGGACCCAGAAACGCTGCTCTCTCTGTTGAATTACGTGTACTTTCAAGGTAAGGTCACACGACTGGCCTCAGCTGGTGTCCCTGCAGTAGTCTCCAGTCACCTGTTGTTCTGCTTGGCACTACTTGATGGGTCATGCCCATGTGTGTCACAGCACAGATGCCAGTTTCTCCATCCACTTTATGACAACACCAAGGAAGTATGAGGCCCAAGGGACTGAATACTCAAAACCATCAATTCCTCTGCTGGACTTTTCAGAGTACTTACTGTAGGTGGTCAGCTGACCTCATGGCCTCCCTGCCTGCCTGCCCTGAGTGTGTGAGAGGTCAGGAGGGCAGAGCCATGGGGCACTCTGAGGCAGCCCAACCCTATCCCAGACAAGGATTCAGGGGAGGCTGTGGGAGTCAAGGCTGGGGGCTCCGTCCCTGCAGGGGAGAGTCCCGCAGTGCAGGACACTCAGGCCAGAGCCTGCACCACTGAGCTCCCAGCTTTGCTGAGACTTAGGGATGGTCTCCTCCCCAGCTATCTCCTGTTCCCCCTTTCAAAGAAAAAGGGGCTCCTAGGGTCTCGGGACACCTGTCGCTCTGGCTGCTTGATGGCGAGATCCTCTCAGTGTCCTAGAGAGGGAGGCCACCTGTGCCCCTGAATTCCACCTTCAGCTTCCAGGATAAGACCCCAGGAGCAGCACCCCCAGAGCTCACCTGGGTGGTAACTGTCCATCCACTTGCCAGGGCCGGGAAGCCCCAGACAAGGAGGTACCATAATAGGACTTGCTTAGAGTCCTCCAACCGATGGCCGGGAGCAGGTTCCTCTCGCCTCTGCGGAGGACATGCCTTACAGGTGCAGGCATGGACAACCCCTGGGTGCAGGGCTCCTGGAGGCTTCCTCTCACCCGTGTGCATGGATGATTGGAGCCCTTTTCTCAGACAAGGCCAAGGCCCTGTGAGGCATGTGGCACACATCCCAGTGCCAGTCCCAGACCAGCTGGTGTTCAAACCCTTTTTTTCTCTTCCACCAGGGACGTGGGAGAAGACTTTTGACCCAGAGCTCACCACGGAGGAGGACTTCCACATAAATGCGACGACCACGGTGAGGGTGCCCATGATGACACGCTTGGGCACATTTGGTGTGTTTCGCTGCAGCACTCTGGCCAGTCAGGTGCTGCTCATGCCCTACCAGGGAAACGTCACTGCCCTCTTCTTCCTGCCTGACGACGGGAAGCTGCAACACCTGGAGAAAACGCTCAACAAAGAGCTCATTGCCAAGTTCTTGGTGAAAGAGGACCGGAGGTGACTCCCCACCCAGGCCTGCCCGGGAGTCCCCAGGAAATGACTGAGCCATGCCAGGAGTGAGGTCACCGCCAGAGGCCGAGGCGGGAGGGACACTGCTGCTATGCATGCTCTGCGCTTACGGAGAAAGGAGTGAGCCGAGGGCTCAGTGCAGGGAGTGGCAGCTAGGCTGTGAGAAAGGCTCAGTACCCAGGTGTGCAGTGGTAGCTAAGAGGTTGACAGCCATGCGGGTGTTGGGGAGGGAGACAAGGAGGAGAGAAACCCTGGGCAGGTTGGGTGGTCCCAGAAGACTGGAGAAATACCTCAATAGCTCCTGTTGTCTTTCCTGTGTGACAGCCCTATCAATCTCCATTTACCCAAACTCTCCATTTCTGGAAACTATGAACTGAAACCCTTGTTGAGCAAATTGGGCATCACCCGTGTCTTCAGCAACGGGGCTGACTTCTCAGGGATCACGGAGCAGGTACCTCTGAAGCTGTCCCAGGTAAGGCCACCCCACGGACTGCCATCTGAAGCTGTCCCAGACATGAGGCTGGAGGAGGCAGCAAGGACACAGCAGGTGCAGACCTGGCTGCTCCCAAGGATGCACCTGATGCACTAGGACAGGAAGTGTCAGGTGACAGAGCTGGGGAGGAGCTGGCAAGGACCTCCCCTGAGCTCAGGCTGGTGACTCCTGACTCAACAGCCTGCTAGTCTGTGGGCTTCAACATCCCTGCGTTTACACAGAGAAATAGGTCCATGCCTTCAAGGACCTCTTGCCCTCCCTCTGTGGCATGGGGGGCTGCTGGTGCCACTCGGTTCAGCTGCTCAGTGGCATTGAGAGGCCAGAGAGCCAGTGGGGTGCAGGTCTTAGTTGCACACTCATGGGGACACACTGGGCACTGGGAAGGCCACCTTCAGAGCCCTTGTGCCCAAGGACCTTAGAGCATTGGTGAGAAAGGGGATTTGGAGAGACACTTGGGGAGGATGAGGCCATTGTCCCCCTCTGGGGTCTGAGAGGGCTGAGAGGTGGGGGTCAGGAAGGGGTCTGATGGACTGAGAGGGAAGGGTGCAGAGAGGGCATGGAGAGAGGGGGAGGTTGTGTGAGCACACAGCGGGGAGGAATGGGACAGGCAGTACCGTCCAGCAGCAAGAAGTCCATGTGGGGCCTCCAGGATATGGTGCCCACTTGGGGCCTCATGCTGACTGGATGGGGAGAGCGCAGGTTCAGCTCACAGATCTGTTTTCTACCCTCCAGGGGAAACACAAGGCGGTGCTGACCATGGATGAGAAAGGAACAGAGGCTGTCGGGGTCACAGTTCTGGACGTAATACCGGCGAGGATACCTGAAAGTGTCCTTTTTGACAGGCCCTTTCTGTTCATCATCTACAGCCACGACATCAAGAGTCCTCTGTTTGTGGGGAAAGTGGTGGACCCCACCCAGCACTGACAGCCACCTGCTCAGCCTTGTCCCCCCCTACCTTGAGCACATTAAAGTCCGACCTGCCCTGCATGCACCCCTCACCCATGGTCTCCGAGTGTCCCTGTGTGCCTGGGGCCTGGGCATGGACTTGGGTCACTGTCTCAGGTCAGCACCCAGGAGGGTGCTGGTTCCAGAGAGTGCATCCTGCAGCCCACCACCTTCCCAACTCTCAGTGATGCAGGTGGGCATAAAGCTCTGGGTTGGGTCCCACAGGTCAAAGTGGGGAAACACCTGCAGCTTCACCGTTCCTCCTCCTGGCACTTCACAGCCACTACCCCCCTAAGTAAGACCTCCAGTGGCCATAGACCCTATGGCCTCTGGGCACCTTAGGTCTGGCAGATCCAGGCGGTTGGGGACTTGAATTCAAGATCAGACTTTGCCCCCTGCCTGCTGGGTGACCTCAGTGAAATCACAGACCTCTTGGAGCTCCCTGGAGTTGGCATGAACCTGAGATAGAAAGAGGAGGGTACAGTGTAGGCTCAGACCCCTCCTGTGCACTCAGTGGACACACCCTCACCCCACCCTCTTCACCAGGCTGCAGCACCAGCTTATGGAGGCAGACGCCGAGGCCCAGCGAAGCTCTCCCCCGCAGGTCTCCCAGCCACCAAATGGCACGCAGGCCTGGTGGGTTCTGCTGCTTCCCCGCCTAGCTCATGGTCCCATTGTGTTCTCCCTGCTGAGGCCAAGGCTGCATGGAGGTGGTCCTGAGAACTCCTTCAGAGTCCCTTGGCTGGAATCCATGACCGTGGACAGGCCGAGATGGCATCTCCAGCTGGCAGGCCTGACTGCCCAGGGGCTCACTCCCCAGGGAACTGTGAGCCACAGCTCTAGCCCCAGTTCACATGGCATCAGCCCGCTCTGTCCTCACCCAGCTGTCACAGCGTTACAGGGATCCTGGGGTGTCCTAGCTGTGCTCAGGAAGCAGCGCTGGGGTAGATGCACAGGGCGGGCTCAGCTCACCTGGCCCAGGCAGTGCATAGAACCTGGGAACCATAACTGAGCGTGTGTGCCACTCTGCCGGCATGTGCAGGCTCTGTCCTGCAGGGAGCGGTGTCGGCACCCGGAGGGATGGAGGCCGAGGGCCTGGCCCAGGCAGGACCTGAAGGGGAGGTCCAAGGATGAGGCGATTCCTCCCTGCACCCCCAGGTCCAGTCCACAGACCCAAGGTGTGGGTGATTGCTCAGTCAGCAACCACACAGGCACCTGCTCCATCCTGCGCAGGAAGAGAACGAGAAGCAGCTCCCCCTAGATAAGGTTCATGTGGACAGCAGGGAGGGTATGAGGCCTGCCTGGGCCAGTGTGTCCCTCAGACTCTCCCCAGAGCCCAGGATGTGGTCACCAAACAGCCCCCCCAAGTGGCCCCCAGCAGCCCTGGGGCTCCTCAAGGGGCTGGTGCAGCCCAGGAGCCTGGGCCTCCCCTGCTGAGGAGTCTGCACCCAGCTCAGCAGGACGGCTTCTCATGGCCTGTTTCCCCAGGGTAAACCTGACCCCCAACATGCCCTGTGGCAGGGGCAAAACTGGGATGTCCCTGCGTCCTCTCTGCTTGTCCTTCCTCCTCAAGGTTGGCACTGGCCAGCCTGATGTCTAGGGTGGACCAAGCCCCTGTGTGCCCCTCCAGGACCTGCAGAGAGGAGCCACATGCCCTTACTGTGGGTGGCCACGCTGGCTGCAGCTGCCCTGTGGCTGCAGAGGAACCCTATCCCACCCAAGGGCAGCCAGCAGAGTGAGGGCTGCACTCCGTGTCCAGGTGAGGACCTGGTAGGATCAGGTCCTGGGAAAGGCCAAGGCAATCCAACAGGAAGGTCCCTAAGAAAGCTCTAGTTACAAGGGGCTCAGCCAGTGCTACTGCAAGCCTGTGCAGATGGGCAGGTGGCAAGGCCAGGGGTTAGGGAGGAGTGCGACAGCAGGTCAGCCAGCAGGGGGCGCCCCACACTGGTGGCTTTGAGCAATCCACTTGAGTGGTCAAGGGGTCCTGCCTAAGACTCCCCTGGCTGAGGTCAGATGCCTTCTCAGAACCTGGGGAACAGTTCCTGCGCCACATCAAAGGCATCAGAACCTTGAGTACCTTTCGTCTGGCAGGGGAGGGCTTTCCGGGACACTCAGCAGGCAGTGCAGTGCTGAGGTCACAGCCCAGGTGCAGGGCGTTGGTGGGCAGGCAGGTGCCGAGTCACGGTGGAGGGAGACGGAGAGCAGGCCCGGCCAGCCAGGGGCCAAACCTAGCCCTGGTGGCCATGACCAGCAATTCCCCGGCCATTGACTCCCGGAAGTCAAGGCTGCTTGACTGCCCAAAAATAAAGTGTTCACCATGTTTATCTGGGGACACAGGGAACGCGGTGTGGCAGAGCAGACAGCCACATTCTAGGAATTTCATTGTGCTTTCTGAGCAGAAAGCACAGAGTACAAACACACAAGTTGGGCTAGGAATTACGTAAACAGACCCTGGGGTCCTTGCGAAGAATTGTCCTTTGATTCTAAGGTGACGTTAGATGTCAAAACACTGGGCATTATGGGCAGTGTGGCACTGTGGAACATGGCTCTGCATGCCCCTTAGTGTGTGGTTCCCAGCAGGCCACTCACGTCTCCACGCACCAGGGTCTGTGAGCGGCAAGACGGCCCAAGGGGGGCACAGTGGGCCACCTTTACGGCTTTGTGTTCAAAGTGGCCTTTTCAGAACTGGCCCTTGGCTGACCCTCAAGCAGTCATGAAGACGGGATTTGAAAGGCATCCTTGAGCAAGCTGCCCTGCGCTCTCCACTCCTGTGATCAGGAAATGAGCCAAGGAATGGATGATGGATCTTTGCATTTCTGATGCCAAAAGTAAAACAGCCCTGAGCTGGACTCAGGTGGCACTCAACCCAAGCTGTGCGTACAGGCCAGCATGCACAGGCAACACGGGCCCGGGAGCAGCACAGAGGGTCCTGTGGTCCCCGTGGCTGCTGTCTTGAACTCCATGGCACCAGAGAGACGTTTGCCCTCACAGTCCGAGAGGCCCAGAGCCTGGAGCCCACTTCATGGAGATTCAGGGAAGGAGTCAAGAGGCCCATTGTAGAGGCTGATGTCCCTGGTTTGTGGAGGAGGAGGTGACACGGGGCTGCTTAGGCTGTCATTGTGGGTGGCCTGGCACCTGCTGTTCTGCTGGACTAAGCCACTTCAGGGCAGGACACTGAGGCCCCGTGAGGCTATGCGCCCCAGGTAGTACGCACTCACCCAGGGTCTGAAAGTGCCCCAGGGTTATTTGTAGGACAGGAGTCTCTGGCTCTACAGGAACCCAGTGTCCCCACGCCCCCTGGACAGGCCTTTAAAGCTCCAAAGGCTGTGCTGAGTAAGGGACTCCAGCGCTGTGCACCTGCAGGCTCTGCCCAGCCCTCTCTCCATCAGCCTCCTCCTAAGCTGCCGCAAGGGTGAGTGCTGGACTCCACCCCACCCAGGGGAAACTGAGGCATATGGAATGGTGCCTCCTATGAGCAGAGTCAGGACTGAGTACAGGCGGCCGGCCTCAGCCACCATGCAGGGAAGTCAGCTGGGAGGGTGCAGCGGCCTCATGGGGCAGCTCCTGGTATACAGGGCACACATAAGGCAGGTGTTGGGGCAGGCGATGCCTGGCCACTCCTTGCCCTCCATCTTTCATAGTGCCCTGGCCTGGACTCACCCTGTGGCTACCTGGACCTCAGCCTGGCCCTCCCACCTACAGGGTCCTGAGGAGCCCCCTAGGGACAGCCCCTCCCCATGTCCTCCTACATGGGGCTCCTCCTTGGGGTCCTTCTTCCTCCCCACCCCAGACCCTGTGAAGCCCCAGCAGAGCACAGTGCCAGACCTCGGTTCGTGGGTTCCTGGCCTCATTCTTGCCTACCTGGAGGGGAAAGGGGGACCCTCTGACCTCTGGCCCACAAGGCAAGTGTTTACCCAGAATCCCACAAGACTCTGGGTCCACCTCCTGCCTAGGGGTCCTGCCCTTGACCTCCTGGTCACACCGTTAGGTCTGCAAGGTCGCAGTTTGTTACTGCTCAGGGGTTCTGGCTGCCTTTCCTGTCGCCTTGACCTTGTCTCAACTGGGCTCATGGCCCTCGGCCCCCGTCCTGAAGGCTCAGGGTTACAACTCTTCTCAGAACAGGCCAAGGTCTGAGCTCACCAAGGCAGAGTCGAGGGCTGGGAGGCCTGTGTTCATCCTGGTCCCAGCTGCCGTGGGCTGCAGGTGGGGTCAGGGGCGGAGCTCTCTGAGCCCCTCTCCCTGCACACCTGCACTAGGCTGAGACAGTGCAGGTCGGTCCCCAGCAGTGCTGGGCAGCAGGTGGTGGCCAGGACAGGCCGCTGAGCTGCCGGCAGGAGTCTCAGCCCATGTGGGTGCCGGGCAGCAGGCCCCTGTGGGGCATGTCCATCAGGCCCCCTGTGTCTGGCTGTGCCATTGTTCTGGCTGTACCCTGTTCTGGCCATGCCCCCTCTTCTGGCTGTGCCCCTGTTATCACTGTGCCCTGTTCTGGCTGAGCCCCTGTTTTGGCTGAATCATGGCAGGTGTTTCTTTTTGTTATTAATGGCAGATGGTTTTGTTTCCTGGTCCCCAGCTAACCTTCCTGAGCTCTGACCAAGACCCTTCTGTGGGATGGTGCTGTTGCCTCTGCTGAACCCCAGCTGCCATGGTCATTGTCACTGTGAGCAGAGCAGTTGGGGGTGTGGACTCGGCCGGACTGTGCGTGATCGGTTCTGGGTCCACTGCTCACCTCACTCGCTGGCCTCGGGCATGGCCTGACCCTCTGGGCTTTGCTTCATCATTGATAGAGAGCAGCCAGCAGTGTGAGCACACACAGGTGTGAGGGCAGCTGTGAGTCAGGGCTGGGAGAGCCAAGACAGTGCTGGCTAAATGGCTGGTATCCCGCCATGTGGCTGCGTCTGATTGTTTTTGGACTCAGTCCATTCTTTGCATCCTACCCACATGCCTCGCCGGGTTACCGAGGAGGTTGATTCTGACCCACAGCGATGGTGTTCTTACCTGCAGAGTCCCCGTGTGACACATTCCACAACGGGAGACAGAGAGCAGGCCCGTGTGTCTTGGTCCCTCGTCTTGCTCTCTCTCCTTACAAGGCCACCAGGATTCAGTGCCAGGGGCTCCATGCTGAAGACCTTCACCAGCCCCACTCACCTCTCAGAGACCCCACCCTGGAGCCTCATCACCAGATTACATGTCTGCCCTTTGAGCAATCATGTTGGGGACAAAGCTTACCCAAACCACAGAGTGAAGAGAAGTACTTAGCACCTGGGAGTGTCTGCTGGGACATGATGACCCTGGGACACCACGGGCATTGACTCAGGGCTCGGCACCCCTATACTGTCTCCTACAGGATGGTGCCACCCTGTGTCTCACGGAGCCTCATGCTGCTGGCAGGCCTGTGCTGCCTGGCGTCATGGCCCCAAGCTGAATGCCGCCAGAAGAAGAAGAACACCTCCGGGTCCAATGACAAACACCAGGCCCACCTCACCTGCCATCGGCTGTCTAGCGTCATCACCAACCTGGCTTTCGCCATGTACGCAGAGCCAGCCCGTTGGTCAAACTCCAGCAATGTCCTGTTCTCCCCAGTGAGCATCGCGGCCGCCCTGGCCATGCTCTCCCTGGGCACCCAGGGTGGCACACAGAGCCAAATCAGGGCGGCCATGAAGTTCAGCCTCAAGGAGACCGCCGGGACGCAGGTGCACCAGTGCTTCCAGCAGCTCCTCGGCAGGCTGCAGAAGGGCAAAGCGAGGCTGCAGGTGCTCACAGGGAGCAGCCTGTTCATGGCCAAGGGCGTGAAGCCAGTGGCTACGTTTTCGACAGGAATCAAGAACTGGTACCACTCCAAAGCCACTGCCATTGATTTCCAGGACCCCAAAGAATCCAGCAAACGCATCAGGGAACAAATAGAACAAGACACGAGAAAGAAAACACTGAATATGGCCCAAGAGTTCGATAGCTCCACGAGGCTCATCCTGGTGAATTACTTTTCCTTGCAAGGTAAGGCAGTGACACCGGCCCGTCTCACTGGCTCCAGTGAAATGATCCAAACCCAACCTCCTACTGTTACTTTCCAGTGTCCCCGGACAAGGCGGGGCGTCTTCACGTGGGTGCTTCCATCTTCCATACTCAAGCAATGAATTGTTCCCAGGAGCAAAGGCTGTGGGGGCACTGAGTTGAAGGCCCTCAAGGCATTGCCTTCTCTACAGGACTTGTCAGTGCCTTGGAGGTCCCTGTGGTCATTGGGAATCGCTAAGAGGCAGGAACAGTGATGTTGAGGCAGGAACACAAGCTGCCTTTGATGGCACAAAGCAAGTGGGGTTCCAAAAGAAGTGTGCACACACTCACCACTCCAGGGCCTCCAATGGTGTCCTCTTTGGGGTCCGAAAGACCAGATTTAAATCCCATCTTTCCTAGCTCTGTCACCATTTGCTCCTTCTTCACTCCTCAAAGGACCCCAGTGGCCAGGGTTGGCAGAAGGCAGAATCCAGGAACTCCATCCAGACCTCTTCCATGGGTACCATCTTCTGCTACTTTCCAAGATGCATTAACAGGGAGCTGGCTTGCAGGCAGGGCAGGGGCTATGTTGTGGTGTGAGATGCTGGCATCACAAGTAATGGCATGACTCGCTGTGCCACAAACCTGGTCGCTTGTTAGGTTTCATTAAGCATCCATCCCAGGCCACAATGAAATAAGCATAAAGCACAAACCCAAAGGCTCCTTCTTCAGAGCCAAGTTTTGCCGATCAGCTCATCCTACAGAGCTTCAGCAACCCTCCTGTGGCCTCGGGTGTCCTCCCTCCAATCAGCTCGCAGCCCGATCCTTCCATTTTTGCCCCATTTTGTAAGTGACAGAGCCAAAGGTCTGAGAGGTGTGGCTCACAAATGGGGCTCAGAGCTCCCCCTTGGGACCCAAGCCCCTGTGCGGTTACCTTACCCCCAGCCCAGGCTGATGCCCACCTTTCTCCTTTCCAGGCAAATGGTTCCAGGATGGGCAGAAAGCCCTCCCAGTGCAGGAGAACTTCTATGTGGAAGGAAAAAAAGCCGTTCTGGTGCCCATGCTGAGCTGTGTGGGCACATTTTACCTCCAACGAGACAAGTTCCTGTCCAGCTGGGTGCTGGTGCAGCCCGGGGGGCAGGGGAACACTGCTGTCTTCATCCTGCCTGACCCCAGAAGATGAGGCACCTGGAGAAAGGGCTGACCCACGAGCACTTTGAAAACCTCTCGAGGCATGTTGGAGCCAGGTGAGTACCCCCTTTGGGGCCACCCAGCCCACCTGGCCTTTGACCATACCAAGGCTGAGCATGCCAGGACGTCCCAAGAATGGCGGGGCGCGGGGTCGGGCCCCACATCCTTGAACCCACACCTACAGCAGACATGGAGCTGCTATTCCCTATAGGCACAGCATGGCTCAGACCATGTCAGCCTGGGGCTAAAGAAGGAAAGACAGACAGACCAGGGGTGGGGGCAGAGGTCCTGCTCCTCTGGACTGCCCTGCCTGCATCACGTGAGTGGGTGTGGTCAGGGAAGAGGCCACCCACTCTGACAGCTGCTGTAACTGCAGCTAAGCGGACCACGACCAAGCCAGCAGCCAAGTGGATGTGGGGGACGGGTCGTGCTGGGTGGGAGACAAGGAGGTAAAAGCAAATAAACAAACACAACCCTCCCAAAAAACCATAACAACTTGGACAGGCTGGATGGGTCCAGAAGGGCAGAGGAACCCCATGCCACCACGACAGCCTCCATCCTCCCTGTGCGACAGGCCTGCTAGAGTGTACTTCCCCAAACTCTCCATTTCCGGAACCTACAATCTGAAACCCATCATGGGCAAGCTGGGCATCACCAAGGTCTTCAGCAACGGGGCTGACTTCTCAGGGATCACAAAGGCCCCCCTGAAGCTGTCCCAGGTGAGAATGGCTGCCTGTGGGGAGGGCCTAAGCACGAGGCTGAGGGACAAAGCAGATGCAAACATGAGGCTGGAGGAGGCAGCAAGGACACACAGCAGGTGCAGACCTGGCTGCTCCCAAGGATGCACCTGATGCACTAGGACAGGAAGTGTCAGGTGACAGAGCTGGGGAGGAGCTGGCATAGCAAGGACCTCCCCTGAGCTCAGGCTGGTGACTCTACACTCAACAGCCTGCTGGTCTGTGGGCCTCAACATCCCTGCGTTTACACAGAGAAATAGGTCCATGCCTTCAAGGACTTCTTGCCCTCCCTCTGTGGCAGGGGGGCTGCTGGTGCCACTCGGTTCAGCTGCTCAGTGGCACTGAGAGGCCAGAGAGCCAGTGGGGTGCAGGTCTTAGTTGCACACTCATGGGGACACACTGGGCACTGGGAAGGCCACCTTCAGAGCCCTTGTGCCCAAGGACCTTAGAGCGTTGGTGAGAAAGGGGATTTGGAGAGACACTTGGGGAGGATGAGGCCATTGTCCCCCTCTGGGGTCTGAGAGGGCTGAGAGGTGGGGGTCAGGAAGGGGTCTGATGCACTGAGAGGGAAGGGTGCAGAGAGGGCATGGAGAGAGGGGGAGGTCGTGTGAGCACACAGCGGGGAGGAATGGGACAGGCAGTACCGTCCAGCAGCAAGACGCCCAGAGGAGGCTTCCTGGAATGTGGCGTCCACCGGGATGTGGCAATGCAGGCTCAGCTCATGGCTCTGTTTCCTGCCCTGCAGGCTGTGCACTGGGCAGTGCTGACCATGGAGGAACGATTCAAAAACGTCACCAAAGCCAGTGCCCAGAGCAGGAAGTCCAACCTCACTGTCAAGTTCAACCGGCCCTTCCTATTCATCCTCCAGGATACCAACATGCACTTTCCCCTCCTGATGGGAAAAGTGGTGAATCCCACCCAACCCTGATCCCCTCAGTCTCAGCTTTAAGCCCAGGCCCAACACCCCTACACATACACTCCCCCAGCTCATTAAATGTCTGAGCCGCCCTACCCGGGTGCACCTGCAAAGCCCTTCCCAGGTCCCTGTGTGCCCGGAACCTGGGAGGACCCCACCATCTCGGGACTGTCAGCTGCCACATCTATGAGGTCCTTGCCTCACACAGAGCCCCACGGGTGGGGATGAGTGTGGCAGAGTCAACACCCAAGACTTAGCCCCTCCAAATGCCCTGAGCTTGCCAGGTGCATCTGGGAATCCTGGAGGGACCACAGGGCTCAGACTCCAGCCCAGGCCCAGGAGTGTCCCATGTTCTCCAGCTGACCCCAACCTGCCCCTACAGGACAGCCCTGCCCACCCAATCCTGCCCTGCCCCAGCATGCTCCTCTCCCAGGCAGCCCCTCCCACATCCAGACTGCCATGTGCCCAGGCCGCCACCCCTTCTGCAGGTTCATGCCTGGCACTGTGGCACAGCAGAAGGGAGACCTTGTCCCCTGCTCAGCCCTCTGTGTCACCTCCCCTGGTGAGCTCTGACGCTCAGACTGTTTCCTGTGGGGGCAGGGCAGGTGGAGTTTTGCAGAGGTCCCCTCTGCGTGGGCTGCCCCCTTTGCTCCCCTCCCTTGCTGCCCCAGGAGGCCTTGCAGCTGCTCTACAGCTTTCTTTCCCCTGGCAGGAACAGGGCCCTGGGCGGCGGCCATTCCTCAAAGTCACTGGGACCACCAGGCCCCCCAGTGGCAGCTCCCTCTCCCCGTTCCCTCCTGCTCCCAGCCACGTGGGGCTAAAGACCATGATTAGAAGCCCTGGGCTGTGGGGAGTAAGTGCGTCTTCCACACATGCAGCACGGCCACCTCCCCCCATGGCCTGCCCCTGGACTTCCCAGCTCTGCAGGAGGGCGTAGGGGTCTTCACCAGAGCCCCCAGAGCCCGCAGACCAAGGCACCTGTGCCCAGCCTACCCTAGGATCACCATCTACCCACCTCGCAGGAACAAGCGTGGGCATGAAACCTCCCTATGTTGCCCCATAGGACACTACTGATCTTTGGACCAAAAATTGCGTTACACTTTGTCCGTTTCACACAGCTCGGTCGGATTGGCAGAGAGTAACTGGTGCCCAAATACACCCACGTTCTCTCCCAGCTGAAGAGCCCATGGTCTCCAAATGCAGGGCCAGAGGAGTGGTGTCTGTGCCCAGGCTGAGGGTGAGGACTGGAGAGAGCTCAGGCCCCTCCCCCAGTGCCAGCAGCTTTGTTGGTGTGAAGCACGCATGGGAGGGGTGCTTGTGGGGTGATGCCGCTCTGGGAGCCCAGCACCCTGTTGCTGCAATCCTAACATTTTCCCACGCGGTGCCGTGACCCTGAGGGTGTGGCTATGCAGTTGACAAAGTCGAGGTTCTGAGAAGTGGTCATGGCTCGAGCCAACGTGGCTAGGAGGGTGGGCCAAGGGACGCTCCTACTCCTTGAAAGCTGACCCCATAACCCCTCTTCTGCCCAGAGGCCCCTGCCAGACCCACACAGTTAATTCCTCCTTGAGGCTCACTGCTGACTCACAGTTCTCGCTTAGCACACATCCCCCTGCCCAGTGGCGGCACCTGCGCAGAACAGGGCACCTTGCAGAACAGAGAATGGCAGTGTCTTGCTGGAGTCATCTCCTCCCTGCACTCCCAGGGCTCCCAGGGCCTCCCTCTCTCCTGCCAGCCCAGGCACCTCATGCCCAGGACAGGAAGGGCCTGTGGCACCTCACTGAGCCCAGCTCCTCCATGCACCCGCCTGGGGGCGTGCTCTGCCCCCTCCTGCAGCAAGAGAGGCTGGAGCTGGGGCTCCCGGGTCCTCCAGGAGAGCAGAGCCCCAGGGCTGCTTCCCCTTTGTCACCACAGCCCCAGGACAAGGGGTCAGCAACTGCTGCCAGCACAGGACGGTGCGCCCTCCGGTGGTCAGCCATTGAACTGCACGGCGCTGGCTCTGGGCGGCTTGGGCAGGGCTCATTCAAGTGCAGGTGCCCAGGCCCACCAGACGCCACCTCCACCCAGGGGTCTGAAGCCAGGGGCTTGTGAGAGAGCCCGAGATGCTCGGCTGTGAACAGGGACCCTCCTCGGGGAGTCTCCCGGGCCACGCTGGAGGAAGGTTGATCTTGGACAGCTGAGTCCTCCAGTTTCCCAGCAGCTTCTGGGGCCTGGCAGGGCAGGCGTCTGCCACCGCGTGTGGCCAGAACAGAGGACATACTGGCATGGCTCCCTGGCCCCGGCAGCACCACTCAGGCAGGGTCTGGGTCCCTCCGAGGGAGGCGTCCCTGGCCAGCCCCCACTTTGGCCAGGGTTGGGACTTCCTCTTTCTAATGGCAGCATCCACTGTGAGGTTGAGAGCATGGGCTGTAGGGCCAAGGGCTGCTGTGTGACCTCAAGCCAGAATCTTAACCTCTCTGGGCCTGTCACCTCTTCTCTGAGGGAGAGGGGAGGGAGCAAACCTCTCCACGTTCCTGGGACACTTTTCTGTGGTCACATGCCCCAGCACAGGACCCGGCTTGCTGCAAAATCTTGCCCGACAGGAGCTGGCCGTGGCGTCCTTAGGGCCTGGACTGGCCCTGACCCAGCTGACCCTGTGGGCAGCTTGCCCTAGGTCGAGCAGTGGGGGTCAGGAGGAGGAGGTGGGCACAGGAGGGGAAAGCAAGAAGAGGTGACCCAGTGCCCCAAAATCCCACAGCCTGTTGGGGACGTTGGCCACACTAGGCAAGCGTGTCCCCCCCCCCCCCTGTCCTGATGCCGCGGGCACAATGGCCGTCCAGCTGCAGCCCCAGGACACAGCCCGTGCAGGGTCCCCTCAGGCTTGGTCGCCAGCCTCAGCCCGGTGGGGGTGTGCAGCAGAGCTGGCTGCCATGGCTTCTCGCCATCTGAGGAAATGGTTCGTTATGTGGCCTCATGGGACTGGGTTGTGGAGCTGGCCACCCAGGCATGAGTCAGAAGGACACCTGGGTTCATGAGGACAGACAGTGATGCAGAGACCGGGGAATGCCAGCTGAGCCACGCATCTGGCCCCCGTCCCTGGGCCCCCACCATGAGGGCATCAAGCCCCAGCCCATTGTGGGAGGGCTCTGTGTTGACCCATTCTTCTGACCATGATGAAATGCCAAGGCAGGACGCTTTCATGAAGAAGAGGCTGATCTGGCTCTGGAGGGTCAAGGCCGTGGCTCTTGGCTATGGTGAAGACCCATGGTGGCTCTGTCACACTGAAAGAGAGCAGTGCAGGGAGAGCCACCTGTGCCCAGTGGGAACTTGGACAGAGGACAAGCCTGTACCCTGGCCCTGAGTCCCACCTCTTAAAGGACCTGTTCCTGCCAACCTCTGCTCACTGGGAACTGGGTATGGGGCTCCCACCCAATGAGCTTTAAGGGGTCACCCCCCCCATCCTAGAGCAGGGCTCAGTTCTGGTTCAAGGTGAAATGCACAGCTCATCAGAGATGGAGACTGGTGCCCCCAATGCCACCCTTGCCAGGGTGTCCTATTCTTTCAGTCCATCACATGAGGTCTCAGGGATCACCCACCAGGGCTGCACACTGGGTCCCATCTCTGCCTGTTGGACCGGACCTTTCTTACCATGTATACTTGGGAGCTCACTGCCCAGGGCCTTCCCCACCCCGACTGTTGCAGGTGGTAGCAGGCAATGGAGGGGCAGAGAGCTGGATGGCTGGTTTCCCTCTGAATAAGAAGTAAGGACTCACCAAGGGTCTCTGCCCAGGCCTCTGGGAGAAGCAAGAGGCTGGCCTCTTCCCTGGCATGCGCAGGTACAACCAGCCAATGCCTGGGAGGGAGGCAGGGGTAAAACTTCCCCATGGAGCCTTCCAGGGTTGCTGCTCATTAATCATTACCTGGCTGGAAGGTAGGAGGTGGGGCTCAGACAGGGACCTATTTTTCCAGTTGTCCAGGGCTTGGGAAGCAGCCTCTGAAGTTCACACAGCCAGGACCGACTTGACTTGAGTGAGTTACTGGGAGAGTTTGGGGACTGTGGGCTCTAAGGCCTGGGGAACTTGCGTTCTGCTTTGGGGCCATTTGCGTATTCACAACAGAGTTTTCTGGCCGTATTAAGCTATCAACTTCAAAATCAGTCTGCTAGAGCTTGAAGTTTGAGTCCTGCCTGTGGACCACATATTGTAGCCTGTGGGCCAAACGGTCCCCACCCCTGCTGGAGAGAAGGGATCACCTGCCCAGGATTGCATTGCTCCCTGGCTCCCAGGACATTCAGTGTGAAAACCAGAAAGTCTGCGAGAAGCTGGGACAGTTAACTGCTTTCCCACAAGGCGAGAAACATAAGTGTCAGAACGACCCCTGTGTGCCATGACAGCCCCGCAGCCCCTTTGTCCCGGACCACCCACTAGCCCAGGGTAGCTCCAGCTGGGACAGGAGGGGCCTGCTGGGTCTTCTCCTTGGGGAAGCCATGGAGACAGGTGTGGGTGCTGGGAGGGGTGGAGGGTAGGGCTAAGCAGGTGTGTGAAGGGTCCTGGGTGAGCTCAGGAGAAAGTCCAGAAGCAGCATTGCCACTGGAGAAAGCTCCTGCTCTGGTCAGGGTCATGGCCACCAACTGACACCAAAACTGACTCGTCACCTTCAAGCTGATGAACTTTGCAAATGCAAAAGATCTGAGTCAGGAGGAAAACACCCAAAAAGGCTCACATTTCAGCGTCTTTAACCAAGGATTGCCAAAGGCCAGCCATGCACTTTGCATGTGTCATGTCTGCCTGTGGCTGCACCGGCCGCCACAGGGATCAAGCTCCTGTGGGCTCTACAAAGCTGCTGCTGTCGCTGGCCGCCCTCTTCAAGAGCTGGTGGGAACTTGAACATGGATCCCTGCCCGGGAGGGAGCGACTGGGTGAACGAGGAAGCCATGTGGAGAGCTGGTGCTTGGAGGCCAGCCGCAACCTCTCCCTTAGCTTCTCCTGCTTGGTCCCATCTGCTCTCAGCAAATGTGTCCCTGAGGCTAATGTCCCTGTCTGGAATGGAGCACTGACAGGGGTCCTGCCAGCCTCACTGACGGTGCGAGAGTGGCTGGCACCCAGGCACGCGAGCCTCCAGGTGCAAGGCAGGGTCTGCCAGCTGAGAGCCTTACTTGGACACTGGCAAGTTAGGAGCTTGGGGGAACCCCTGTGGCAGTGTCTTGGGGGCCCAGGGGTTCTGCAGGGGAACCTCCAATCTCTCTGTCCTCTTGCAGGTCTGAGTGCCAACGATGCTTTTTGCTGTGCACCTGCTCCTCCTCCTGGCTGGACCACTGTCCGTGGCCGGCAAGCAGCTGCAGCCAGAGCATGGGGTTGAGGATCATCACGCCAACAGCTCCAGGCAGGCGCTCCTGGGGGCAGCTGAGGGCTCCCCCAGCCTCAGAATCGCCCCTGGCAACACTGATTTTGCCCTCAACTTGTACCACCTGGTGTCCTCCCAAAGGGCCGGGCAGAATATCTTCTTCTCCCCGCTGAGCATCTCGGCTGGCTTGGCCATGCTGTCCCTGGGGGCCCGCTCACATACCAAGGACCAGATCCTCAAGCACTTGGGTTTCAACCTCACACAGCTGCCCGAGCCCACCATCCACCAGGGCTTCCGGCACCTCCTGCACAAGCTCGGGCATCCGAGCAGTGGCATGGAGGCCCATTTGGGCAGCTCCCTCTTCCTGAGCCAAGACTTGGAGCTCGTCCCAGCATTCCTGAATGACACCGCAGCCTTCTACAACGCCAGTGTCTTCCATGCCAACTTCCGGGAGCCCGTGGAGGCAGCCCGGCTCATCAATGAGCACGTCCGGGAGGGGACCCGCGGGAAGATCTCAGATCTGATTGCGAACCTGAGTCCAAGCACCCAGCTGGTGCTGGTGAACTACATTTACTTCAAGGGTAAGAGTCAGGTGTTTGCTGGGTTCTCTGTCCCCCTGCACATCACAAAGCGGAGAGGGAGGGATGGGATGCTTCTGCTTGGAATGGTGTCCTGTGTTCCAGAGTTTGCGAGAGGCCTCCCTTTTTTAGGCCTTCCTAAAGGTAACCTAGGGGACGCATCACAGCAGCCATTGTGCAGGCAGCTGCTGGGCTCTCATCTGCCCTGGGCCCCACCACGGCACGGTCCTTGTAGCTGCTGGAGCAGGGGTGGAGGCTGATGCGGTGAGGTTGGCCTTGAGGCTCAGAGCTGTGCCCCTACCTGAGGCTCTGTTTTCTGCTGTTTCCAATATGTTCCAAAACTACTACATAGAAAATTCCAGAAATGGACAGGTGTCATTTTTAAAAAGACTTATTTATTTTTATTGGAAAGGCAGATGTACAGAGAGGAGGAGAGACAAAGATCCCAAGTGGTCACAACAGCCCAAATTGAACCGGTCTGCAGCCAGGAGCCTGGGGCTTCTTCCGGGTCTCCCATGCAAGTACGGAGTCCCAAGGCTTTGGGCCATCCTCGACTGCTTTCCCAGGCCACAAACAGGGAGCTGGATGGGAAGTGGAGCAGTTGGAATATCGACTGGTGCCCATATGGGATCCTGGCACATACAAAGTGAAGACTTTAGCCACTAGGCTGCTGTACTGGACCCTGGTGTCATTTTTTGTTTTTTTTTAATGCACTGTATTGTTGTAGTCACCTTGCTGTTAACCTCCTGCTGTGCTTAATTGATCAATCAAGCTTAGCACGGGTATATAGGTCCAGAAAAGAGCCCTATACATGCAGGGTTCTGCGTTTGTGGCAGACATGGTGGGGGAACCATGCTCTTCCTTAACAGAAGACCTAAGGAGAGAGGCGAGCTCCAGCCCCTGGGCCTACTTCGGCCATGAACCTGTCTTCGTAAACAGTCTTATCGGTATCTAGTCAATACTACCAAGATGAATGATCTGCCACAGCCACAGTAGGCACCATCTGCCGACTGTCTCTGCTGACCCCTGGCTGTTTCAGGTGCTCAGTAAACAGCACCTACGCTGCTTTGATGATGGCAACTTTCCCCCTCGAGACCCATTGAGGCCTCCGCAGTCACCATCACAGCCCAGGAGAGCGAGCCACCCACGCTGAGGACAGGAAACTGGTATAGGAACTGAACACTTCCTAGTGTCAGGAGCAACACAGGAAAGCTCGAGGGGCAGAAAGGCCACCGTGGCTGCCAGGGGACGAGGTTGCCCAGGAGGGGGTCGCTGTGCCTGACGCTGCATGGAGGGCAGGGTGGAAGACAGGCATGGGGACAGAAAGAAGCAGAGGCCCCACTGGGTCCTGTCCCCTTCTGCCACGCAGGCCTGTGGGCAGCAGGGGTGGCTTCACGCGTGCTTCTCAATCCCATACTTTTCATCAGCCCCAACTCAGTACCTGCAGGGAGCAGAGCTCTGGGAAACATCTCAAAGCGAATAGTCCGGGCAGGCTAGTCATCTCCTGTCTTCAACAGGTGGGATCTGCCTGGGTTTTATAAAACCCTTTCATTTTAAAGTAAGTGAGGCAGGAGGGAAAACTTTGTGAAGGTGTTACACTTGGGAAGACACTGATGGGACTGCCGGGTTGATGTGGCATGGAGTCCTCCTCCAACCTTACCAATCTCACCTCCTGCCCTCTCCCTCCACCTCCCTCTGCCCCATGCCAGGTCAACTCTCTCTCCTCTCTCTGTACCTCCCCACCCCGCCACCGGCAAAGCTGCCACTCTGCGTAAACATCGTGGTCTTCAAGTCGTCACCTGCCACCAGGAGCCAAATGCGCTCAGAGAGAACGACTCCCACCGGGCTGAAGGTCCCACTCAGCTGAAGGTCCCCAATCAGTCCACATTGCCCACCTCCCACCCTGTGTAACTGTCTCTGCTCTGGTCAAACTCCTTTCCCAACCCCTGGCCATCACCTCATGGTCAGTCCGTCATCTTGCCCATATTGCGTTGCAGAAGCAAAAAGTCTCACTCTCCTCGCTTACCAGTCGACTTACCTTCCTATGTTTGAAGCCTCACTTTGCCTGCTCTCTGATGGAAGGCAGACCCCGCTCCCTGCACCCTACCACTTCCCCTCTGCTCCTTAGAGATGCTGACTGCAGCCCGGTGCAGCCTGCTTTGGCCCTCTGACTTTCACATCTGTCCCACTCGCACACAACTGCATCCAAACCCCTGCTGCTCTGCCCCGGGCCTCAGGGAATCAACTCAGGAAAGAGCTCCATAGGACACACAGATGGGGTAACAGGGAAGGATCTAGAACTTGTGTGCCATTCATTCCATCTTCCCTGCAGCGCTGTGGGAGAAGCCATTCCCCCTCTTCAAGACCAAGCCCAGTGACTTCCATGTGGATGAGAACACAGTGATCCAGGTGCCCATGATGATACAGGAAAGAGAGATGCACCGTTACTTCCACGACAGGCACCTGCCCTGCTCTGTGCTGCACCTGGACTACAAGGGAGGAGCATTGGCCTTGCTCATCCTGCCAGACCCGGGCAAAATGGCAGAGGTAGAGGAAGTGTTGACCCCGGAGATGCTCAGAAGGTGGAACAGATTGCTCCACAAATTGTGAGTGGATGCCCCAGATGCAGAGCGTGGCCATATGATGAAGTAACCCTCACTCTGAGACTCATCCTGAAATACTGAGCTCTCCTGTCGGAGCTCAAATGCGGGGGGGGTGCAGGGTCTCCCTCCTCACTGGGGCAAAGACAAACACCCCAAGAGCTCAAATGCGGGGTGGGCCTGGCTCCTCCACTGCGGGGGACTCATGTCAAGTCAACTTCACCAGCTCAGTCCTTAGGCAAGGAACCCACAGGTCCGGCTAACAAAGCTATGACACCCTTCTCGAGAACAGCCCAAAATGCTGTGGGTGAGTCCTCAGAGCAGGTGCTCCCAGATGGCAGGGAATGGCATGGCAAGGCCAAAAGGAGCCTGGCTCCCACTGCACTTACTGCAGGAAGTGTTGGGGGGTGTCCAGGACTCACCCAGAGAGCCTCCAAGGAGCGTTCTGCCCTGCACAGCCCTGACTTGTCCCTGACCCCTGTTCTCACCCCGTGCCCTTCTCAGGGGACCTGGCAGGAAGCTGGAGTTGCATTTCCCCAAGTTCTCCATCACTACCTCCTACGTACTGGATCAGATTCTGCCCTTGCTCGGCTTCACGGACCTGTTGTCACCGCAGGCTGACTTCTCCGGCATCATCAAGCAGGGCCACCTGCAGGTGCCTAAAGTGAGTCACCCTTGGCCATCAGTCCCTAGAGACCTAAGAGGAGAGGGGGATGACTTCTGCCTCCTGCCCCTGCCTTTGGGGGAGTGAGGGTGCGGGCATGCTCCCTGCTGACACGTGGAGGCCCAGGCCCAACTGTTCAACCTCCAGGGTGTCAGCATTCATGCAGACCAGCCCATGTGAGCTGGGCGTGTGCTCAGTCCTGCTCAGTGCCTGGACTTGGGAACCTCTCCCAGCCAAGCCTGGGAGACAGCATTCACAGAGACGGTGGCAAGAGAGTGGCCATGCCAGGAGAGGGACAGGGGAAGGACAGACAGGCTGGGTTGGGTGTCTCAGGAGAGAGATTTGAAACAGCGCTGTGGCTTCAGCTCAGAGAAGCATGCCAGAGGCTGGCAGGGAGGGCTGTTGCTTCCTGAGCGTTGGAGCTCCGATCTTGGGGTTGCTTCGTTCCTGACTTTAGTATCCTCATCTGCCAGATGGCCCTCACAGGGCTTACACTGGCCCTGCGCACAAGACACTGAGCAGGAGCTCCTTGAAGCAAAGCTCTTATTGCGGCTTGCCGGGGAAGAGGAAGGGCCCGCCTCTCGCAGCGCACCCAGCAGAGCCGCGTGGCTGTGCTGTCCCCAGCAGGTGTCCCTCAGGAAGCTTGGCCTTGGGCTCAGGCTGACTCTGTGATTTCTCCCCCAGGGTTTCCACAAGGCCACTCTGGACGTCAACGAGTTTGGCACTGAGGCAGCGGCAGCCACAAGCTTCGTAGCCTTCTTGAGTGCTGTCCGTAAGGATCCCCACGTGCTGAAGTTCAACCGGCCCTTCCTGATGGCCATCCTCTCCCCCGACAAGCACAACATCCTCTTCCTGGGCAAGATCGTCAACCCCTTGAAGCTGTAGCCTTGGGGGCTGCTTGGGCCCTCCGCAGCATGCAGATGTGGCCTGGGACTGCTGGCAGGATCAGCACCTTGCACAGAGTAGAGGCCGATGGCAGGAGATGTGGGCAAGGGGAGGGATTGGCGGCACCCAGACAGACTGGACACTCCCAGGCAACTGTGGGGGTTAAACCAAGAGCTGGTCCTCGGCTTGTACACAGTAAATGCTCAATAAACCTGTGCTTACCTGGTCTTTGGGGCATCACCCTGTTCCCCTATGTTCCTAGAGCTCTGGGTTCCAGGGCTTGTTGCAGTGTGTGTGTGCGTGTATGCAGGGGGAGCTGGCTGTCCCTGGCCAGGGTAGTGCCTGTGTCCCCAGCAGAGACTGAGAGGCAGGGAGAGCACACGCCAAGGCTTCCTGCCCGGAGGCCCCACCCCATCAGTGGCTGAGGAGAGCCGGTCCATGGCTTTGCTGGGCTCTACCCCACAACGGAAGTAGAGTCCCGTTCCTTTTGCCTGGGCCTGCAGGCTGAGCCCCTCCCTTGCAGAACGTCCAGACCTTGGTCTCTCCCCACTGGCCTGGCTCAGGCCATTGACACACACATGGGGAATTCTTGCAGGGTAGAAGTGATCCCCTGTCCCTGCAGAGAGGCAGGTAGCCAGGCACCTCAGGGACTTCTGGACAGGGCCCTGCGTGCTCTTTTAGTGGCCAGTGTGACAATGGAGTCCCTGGGACAGTCAAAGCTCGGACTGTCCAGGAGGAGGGACCTCCCCCCACGACTTCCTTTACTTGGGCCTGATTTACCCTCTGCTGTAAGATTCAGGGTAAGGGGCCTGGCGCAATAGCCTAGTGGCTAAATCCTCACTTTGCAACCACTGGGATCCCATGTGAGCACTGATTCATATCTTGGCTGCCCCACTCCCCATCCAGCTTTCTGCTTGCGGTCTGAGAGGGCTGTGGGGGATGGCCCAAGGCCTTGAGACCCTGCACCCACATGGGTGACCCGAAGGATGATCCTGGCTCCTGGCTTCAGATGGGCTCAGCTCCGGGCACTGTGGCCGCTTGGGGAGTGAGCCAGTGAATGGAGTGAATGGAGTGAATGGGAGTGAATGGAGCAGTGGATCCACCTTTCCTTCCTCCAGCCCCTCAGCCCTGGCCTCGAACCAGGCAGCCCATTTGGCTCGCAGGTGGTGCAGGGGCCAGGTAGTCAGTGTAGGCAGAGCAAGCGGCAGCTGCGACGCCGAGCCCTTAGCTGTGTTACCACTGCCCTTAGCTGTGTGTGTTACCACTGCCCTTAGCTGTGTTACCACTGCCCTTAGCTGTGTGTGCTACCACTGCCCTTAGCCTGTGCCTCCAGATAAGCGCCGCTGCCCCCCACCCCGGTCCTGCACGTGTGTCTGTGTGTGTGTGTGTGTGTGTGTGTGTGTGTGTGTGTGTGTGTAGGGGGCGGTGTCTCTCCCCACCACATGGGAACTCCGAGGCCCTCTCATCTCTGCACCTTCACTACCCGGGAATGCTGATCAGGAATTCTAGCAGGCCAATTCCCAAGCTGGAAACGATGTGTCGCCCTTGTTCTCCCAACCTTGGTTGCTAGGGTTCCTGGCTGAGCTTGTAGAAAATTCTAGGTCAGCATTCAGCACCTCCCCCTGCACACCCCCTGCTCCCTGCAGATCTGCCCTCTTTCTCTCAGTGCACCCAGCCGGGGCAGACTCACTTCTGGCCCCCCATCCTGGAAGCAAAAACACGGGCCTGGAGTCCTGTTAAGCAATCATCCGGGCTCTGGGAGAGGCGGTTGCTAGCCACAGCCCCTCTAACAGGTGGCCAACAAACCCAAGGCTAGTGCTCAAACCTCGAGCTATGGGCAAGAACCAGAGCCAGCTGGCCCAGGCCCCTGTCCCCGGCACATAGGACATGCCCATGTCATGAACCTATCTTCCCCGGTAACCCAGACAGCGCAGGCCAGAGAACTATGGCTGGCTGGATGAGTGTTCAAGACTCAGGGTACTCCTGGGACTGTGTGACACGGCCCCTGGCCCCAGCAACGCCACAACCCTAGCCGTGGGCTCATTGCCAAGGAGCGTACTCTCAGGCCTTTTTTCATCAAGGAAAGGCCACTGCTGAAGTGAGGGGTCCTCTCCCTCCCACTTTCCCAAAACAGCCCTGAGCCGGACACAGGACAGCCTCGGGAGAGGCCTCCAAGGTGGGCACTGGCCAAGCTGGAGCATGTGGGGGCTCAGCTTGCCAGGTCCAGGCACCACAGGCCCTGGAAATGCTCTTGACCCCAGAGACCGGGGTTTCTACAGCCATGACAGTGCTGAGCCAACAGAGTCCGAGTGTGGTGGGGAGAGAGGGGCAGGTCACTTTCAGGCCAGCCTTGAAGCATGCCTCCTGATCCAGATGGAGCGTTCCCTCCCGCACTTGGAGAGAGACGATGATTCCCGTCCCTCCCCAAGCCCCATATACAAGGAGCACTTCGAAGGCTGCTAAGTGTAGATCAGGCTCCTCCAGCCTCCGTCCTCTGCTTGCCGCCGAGGAGCCAGCAGTTATATCTCATTTTTGTATGATTTATTTATTTGAAAGAATAACACACAGAAGGACAGACAGAGAGTTGATCTTTCATCCATTAATTCACTCCTCAAACGGCTACCAGGTGAGGCTTGGAATTCCATCCAGGTCTCCGTGTGGGTGGCAGAGAACCAAGTAAGTCATCTTCAGCTGCTCTCCCAGGCTCATTCGCAGGAAGGTGGATTGGAAGCAGAGCAGGTGAAATGCAGAGTGCTGCTCTGATATGGGACATCAGTATTGCAGGTAGAGGCTTAGCCTCTGGCACCACAACACCAAGCCTGTATATGATGTATGATTCTAATTAAAGAAAGTTTTCCTCAACCAGATGGGTGGAGGAGTGGGTGGGTAGAGGCTGGGTGGATAGACAAATGGATGCAAAAAGGTGAGTCGCAAGCAAGGTCACTAAGCTATTTGTTCTGTATCACCGCCCCTTGAAACAGCGCTGGGATTGATTGGGCAAATATTTAGTCCAGCAGGTCAGATTTCAAAATACCTTTTGGAAGCATTTAAAGAAAAACAAATCTAAGCTGGAAGAAGATTGCAAGCCAGAGAGGGCATTGTCCCGGGCAGGGCCTGGGCAATCTTGTGCTGCCTGCCACCAGCCAGGGCCTCTTCCTGGGGTAGCCCTTGGCATGAGTGTGGGAGGCAAACATCCCAGACTTCAGGGGAGCCCAGTCTGTGTGTCCTGCCCCTGTCTTCCTGTAGGGAGGGGAAGGTCGCCTGGGTGCCACAGGAGGAGGCAGGCAGCACAGAGGTGGTCAGGCACCATGAGATCAGACTCCAGGGGAGGGTGACAGCCTGAGGACCTTAGTAGGTGGTACAGAGAGACATACAGTGTGGGACTGCAGTGACTTGGGTCACAACAGTAACAACATGGGGCACAAGAAGAACCATCCTTCCTATGGTGTCACCCAACTGTCACCACGGATTGGGGAGGTGTGTGGGCTTTCCCCAGCAACACCGAGCTGTGCATCACACATCGACTGGTGTCTATAGTCCTAATGCCCACGTCAGCATTTACCTGGAGCCAGAGTCAGTACCCACAGGCTCAGGGCTCGGCCCCGTAGAGCGGACGCCAGTGCCAGGAGTAGGCCCCCACCTGTACCTCTGACCTGCGGCCTATGAGCTGGGGGTCCCCAGGCCCCTCCTGGGATTCCAGAGGCCAGCAGCAAGGGCAGCCAGAGCCTGGGGGAAGGCTTGGTGTTCTGTGATAGTGTGGGGTATAGATGGACGTGAGATGCTGGGGGCCAGGGATAGGAGTGGGACATGGAGCTGGAGTCCCCACCTGCACGGACTCCCATACCTGTGCCTCCAGCTTCATGCAGGTGTCACACGGGGCATGATAAATAATGTCACCTGTGCCATGGACCACAGCCTCTGTCCTGTACCAAGAGGTTGGGCCTAGGGTTGGAGAGGCAGGAGGCAGAAAGGGGATGCTGTAATATTCATGCGGCTTCCCTGGCCCTAGATCCCACCCTGAGGCTCCCCGGGAGACCCCCATGAGCCCCTCACTAGGACAAAAGAGGCTTCTGTCCCCCGGGAAATGACCAAGGTTTGGGGGTGGGGGTGGAGCGCTGTACCAGGAATAGGCACCAAGGAGCACAGTTCCCACCTCGTGGCCCCCTGTGCGGTGCTGAGACTTCGTCTGGGGACCCAGAGCAGCCATCCATGTGGCAGGCACATGGTACACCACTAGCCAGGGCAGCCTCAGCTTCCCCAAGTCAGCTCTCAGGCTGCTGTGCTGCTGAGCAGGGACTGGGGACAGTCTCAAGGGGGCAGCCATGGCCTCTAGATCCCCAGAGCCACCCTTCCCTGTGCAGCCCTCCTTTGGGGTGGCTGCGGGATGAGGGAGCCTGGTCCTGCTGGCACCCAGGTGCCAGTTCTGCTTAGAGGCAGGGGACAGCACATTCTCTCTGCCACAAGGTGCCCAGCTCATCACCAGTGCTTCCTTTCCTTCATGGATCACAGTGTATAAAGTCAGCCCTGCCCCAGTCCCAGCATGGACATGTAAGCCCTGCGTGTCTCACGGGGTTCTGGCTTCCCTGCATCCACTCTTTAGCAGCCTTTCTTCCTCTTTCCAGGCTCCAGGCTGTGCTGTTCTTGCTCCTACTGCCTCCTCAGCCCCCAAACCAGCTGCTCATGGAGGATGGAGCTTATGTTGTCTGCCTCCATCCACCCAGCCAGAGCTGAGGGTGTCCACAAGCCCAGCTCCGAGCTTACCACCTCCAAGAAGCTCTTCCAGGAAAAGGGCCAATGCTTACATGTTTTATCATGGCAGTCCCTGTGAGCCCTTTGACCTCTGCGCTGAGTTCAGCTGTAGAGGCTGCTTCTGGAAGCCAGGGGCATTTTATGAGACTTTGTGAGTGCCAAAAAGTGTTGATAGGGATAGACTGAGTAGAAACGGGGAAGGAGTGGGTAAGAGAGGGGAGTCAGGAGAGCAGGGCTATGTGCATTGACCCAGGCAGGTAGGCAGGTGGAAGGGAGGCACGGGGGCCAGCAGCAGAGGCACAGAGGTCCAAGAAGCCTGCAATGAGAAGACAAGGGAATTGGGAAAGTTACCAAGACTAAAGATCTGGGTCTGGAGCTCAAGCCCAGAGCTGGGTGTGGGAGCCAGGCCTGAGCCCAGAGCTGGGTGTGGGAGCCAGGCCTGAGCCCAGGAGCAAGGTGAACTGCTCACTGACCTGCA